TTTGACCCATTAAAAATTATTTATTGTAATACTTACTGATTTACTCATAATTAAACGTCTTAGGCAGTCGAAACATGCCCTTTATGGTCTAGACCTCCTGTGAAGGCTGGACCACCTAAGTCTATTGGATAGATAATTCTGCAATGCATGGAGAGCTTTATATTAGTACCTTCCTACAGAATATTGAGTGAAGATTGTTTGTCAAAATGACAGGAAGTTGACATACCAATTTCTTTGATTTCATCGACAATATTTAGTATGTTTATTCAATTTGTCCTAAGGATTGCAAGTTTACGGAGTGAAAGGTGGAAGTCTTAAGGAAAAGCAATGGGACTACAATATATAGTTAACCTGGAGGAAGAGGTCGACCCAAAATCACAGAGCAAGCGGTAATTGAAAGGAAGTCGGGTCGAAAAGGAGGATCCATGTAGTCAAACCCCAAACAAGTACTGAATAGGGAAACGTAGCTGAGATAGGGATTTTAACTATAAACATTTTATTAATCAGATCACATGCAATACAGAGATGATCAGTAGATGTTGGCCCTACTTCTAATCAGATCTACATTACAAATATTTTGTGATGAAGCAACAAAACGATCATGAAAAACAATAAAACTTGGAATAGACCAAATATATTACCTGTTTGAACTGTCACAGAGTCCCTCAAGAATAGAACGAACTTTCTTCTCACTTTTCACGGAAGGCGACACAATACTACAGACTGAGTTAAATTAAATCATCTTTCAGCACACATGTTTAAGTAAATAATTGACATCCAACTAGGACAGGAAAAAGTAGGTCAGCAGAAAACATAATAGAAGTCAAAAACGATGGTGGCAGACCATATCGCAGAATGCTTTCAGTGAACACACGTACAGCACCGAAGTGCATCCAGGAGCTAAAAACCTGTAGGATTGGTAACACAATTTTAATATATACCATTATCCATGTAAATTCCAGAAAGTGTAACAAGATAGAACAAGGGGGTCAACTTTATTTTTAAGATAATTATGTCCAAAGCAGACTATCACTTATTTGTGAAAGCAGAGGAGAGCCCATTTGCTCCCCAATTGATGTTTTGACTTCCCCGGCATTAGCTGAAGAGGTATCATTCCTTCTAAACAAACCAGTAACCACACTTTTCCCTCAAACAAATGTCAGACCAATGGAAGCGCAATTCTGAGTCTACTAATTTCATTTGCTCTGTTGCAATTGAGGTAGTTCAACCACAGATCAAAATGTAGTGAAAATTATGGGAAGAATAAAAAAAATTCAAAACAGCACCAAAAAAACAGACATGGCTTCTAAATGTAACTATTAACGATTAAAATAATTTCAGCAGCTTTTCAGAGGGAAAAAACAGAGTACCTCTCCGCAACTAGTGTAGCACCATTGCAATAGAGAGCTTCTCAATGCATCCTGGTCTTGATTCAGCTTTTCCAGTTCCTGCCTTCTACTCTCTTGTGTTTCTGGATTATATTCAAAATCACGAATCTAAACCACACAACAATCAAACCTTTTAAAGAATATGCTCTCGCATTACACATAAAACTAATGCGAGAGCATATTCTTTTATGTGTAATACGAGAGCATATTCTTTAAAAAACAGAAAAGAGATGAAATAGTTTGCATAATAGAGAGAAAACTTGTCAACACTCACTTGGAAATTTCTTTCACATGCCTTTGTTCTGAAGTTGTCAGCATCATGACTGAATAATGTTACGGTTTACAGTGCATATTCATTGTCCTCGTGTAACTTCTTGGAGGTTCTAGGGACCTAAAACAATCAGTTCAATCAAAAAGCAATATCTACCAAAGCAAAACATATAAAACATCTCGAAAAATAATGGTATGAACATAACTGCCAGGAGAGCAATAGGTTGACTTTATTTTGAAAGAGTAAAGAAGAGATGCATATTTATTACCAATAGCATATCATCATCTCAATATGTATTGGGGCCATCAGTGCAGTTAGAATCATGAAGGGCGAGACTGAAAGAAAAATGGGGCTGCTACATAAATAGCAAATTGAGTTCTTACCACGTAGTTTGTGAGTGTCTCATAACTTGATAACCAATCCTTCTGAGAATACTTTGGAACAATCGCGATGAGGGTTGTTAGATGTTCTGAGGTAATAACATCGTTTGGCTTCACCAAACTGGAAAGGTCACGAACAGCTAAACTGCGATAAGAAATTATTTGATCAAATAAAAACTCGAGCAATAAGTTAAAGAGAATTACTATATAGCTAAATAAGGTAACTGTCTCAGGATGGCTGTAAAAATATTCCCACAATTTCTTCAACCCTATCCCTAGACCAAAACGTTAGATAGATGAGAGAGAGAGAAAGAGAGAGAGAGAGAGAGATGGACTTCTATCCTTCCTCACTTCAACAGAAAAACTTTCATCACCATGTGCTACAAATCTCCAACTATTGGTTATCTTTTCACCAATGTGCATCACGTGTCACTTAATCATGCGATCACTTTGCAGTCTATCAAGCAATGCCATTAAACACCAAATTAATACTCTTTTATTCCAGGAACTGCAAGTTCCCATACTTAACTACACTTTAAGAACAATTAGCATTAGGTGAAATAATTTAAATCAATCTTTGACCTCCCTGTTAAGCAACCTCCACTACTGCACCTAGAATTTTTTGAGCTAAATGTCATCTCACTGTGGACAAGTAGTTCACACATCCCATCATTACTAAGATTTGAACTTAAAATTTATAGTTTTCAGCATCAAGGAAAGGAATGATTTTTAATACCAAGACTGTTCGAAATCCTTATGATCAGTAATACCAAGAGAACAAGCTAAGCTTTCATTTCCAAATTAGTTACCATGCAGATGCTCAGAACGAGGTAGACTTCAGTTTTTCAGTTAAAATATCCATAATGTATAATACCTGAGAGGTCAAACACCTGCCTGCACTTGAGAATACTCATGAGTTATACTTAAGGAACAAATATCCATGGGGATTTCTGAACAGTCAACAAATTAAGACATGTTCACTTCCAGTTTGTGGAAGTTATCACAACCCAAAACCTTGATAACGTAAATCTCAGATTAATGATATACCTTCCAGCCCGCTTTCTATTTATGGCATTAAGTTGACTCCGGACATTGCAAAAAGTCAAACCCAAACTGAAAACTAAATTTTACATACATAAATAAATACTACTACCACAAAAAACTAAGCAGCATTCCCGACAAACTAAGAGTCGGCTAAACTACATGAATTCTTCGTTGCTCCACTTGGTATGCCAAACAATTGTTTGTGACTGGTGTTCGTGCTTGATTCATTTAAAACAGAAATCAATCACCATTGAACTTCTAGTAGCAGACAAGAATTATTACTTTCAACAGATTTTTATATGATATATGACATTAGCGTTGATAATAACAGCATGATGACATGCACATAAATCTTTTTATTTCTTAATCAGTGATTCCATTTTCCAGACATTTTGTACCACTGAAATTGGCAAGGCAATCATAAAAGGACAACATATTTTAAACTCAATGAGCTTTCATTTCCAAATATGTCAACAATGACTAGTCACTAAAAGGGGAAAAAAGGACCTAAACATTTTTATCTGGTTATAAAAACAAGTTTTATAATCCGAACCAAGAAGGCTCAAAATTTTACAGTTCACGCTATTCTCTATAATAACTGCACAGCCTTCAAATTCTAAGGGATATAAATGTATATTATTGAACAATGGTTGCAAGCCCTCACACATCATTCTTATATTGTCCTTGCTTCTATTTCTATATAATAACTCAGGTCATCTAGACTGCACTCAGTACGACTTTATAACAATTATTTTATTAAGCAAAATTTCCAAAACAAATAAATCTGATTTTCTTCATTGACCACTGAACAATGTGTTAGTTCTGAATTGTTTGAAAAACAATTATAGGTTTACGCTTCAAATGCCGCCTCCTGTGAGGTCATCATAAAACACCTCAAAACCAGCACCTTATATGCCATATGTGAGGCTTACGCCTCGATTTACGAAGGCTTATGCCTTGACTTAGAGATGCGTACCCCTAAAACCAACTAAGGTGTTTGCACATTTGCCTTGCATTTTTTAAACATTTAACTATTGCCCCTATCCTTTTTTGAGTTATTCTTTTAAGTTTATGACCTAAAAATATTGACCTTATTCTTTTATTTTCTTTTTTCTACCTACACAAAAGGAAAATAGGAAGGAGAATATACAACTGCAATTGGAGGATGATGACAAACAATGAAAAGAAACATATAACGAGGCTGGCTGCAGATGTTAATTATTCCCTTGAAGATCATATTAGAGTGAGGATATAAAAAATTATTAAGTTGTCCCCACTTTTAGTAATATAGATTATAATTTTGTCACATAACTACTAATTTGAGAACTTATTATTTTCTATTTTCTTGATCTATTTCATGTTTGTTTGCAGCTTAGACTTTTAATAAAGTTTTAAAGATTTGAGATTGTGCTTAATATATAAAAAAAATTGGGTATAATTTGTAAAAGAATAAAAAGTTTAGATACTAAAATTGTAATTATTATTTTTAAATTTTGGTATTTTTATTTTTTTTAACCGAAAATCTGACAGCATGGGGGATTTTCGTACAAAAAATTTTAAATATGAGGATTTTCTGCGATTTTCAATAGGCATGATGTATATTACAAATGAAAACGTTTATGGGGTTTTTTTTTCCTATTAATCCGGTAAATTGGATATGGAACCATTAGGAAAAGCGAAGAGAATCTTAACTAATGTAACTTAAAAAGAAATAATGTAACTTAAAAAGAAATAATAGGATCCCATTGTCCTCATTCATCTCCACTAATGTAATTTAAAAAGAAATACTTATGGCATGTGCCTTTTTAAAAATTAATTCGCTTTTATCATTACTAGTGGTGGATCGTGCGTTGCACGATGACTGTTATAATTTTGTAAGAGATTTATTTGTGACGACAATATATCTTAAAACAAATAAAGTTTAATTATATAGTGTCGATAATGTGACCAACTGGATTTATCATATGGGCCTAAGTTCTACTATGGCTTCCACATCTCCTTTTGCAAATGCTAACAATATCCTATTATTTAACAAACCAATTAACCAAATGAAAATTGATCCTCGGACTCTTGAGCCCAACAAGTAACATTAATCCAATTTGTAAAATATGAAAGACACAAGTCTTTATGTGAGTAAGAACTTGAGGTGCCAGTATCAGCAAACCTCAGCCTAGTCTCCCTCATTTCAAAATGAAAAATCAAATAGGCAAGTCATCAATGAAACAAATATACATTTTGTGTTTTATGAATTAATTAAACAATGAAACCAGTAGAGTATCTAATTTCTAAAATATCAGCCATTTATGCAATATATGACAAAAGTTGATTACAAGTAACTACATGCCTATGATGACTCGAAATCTTATAGCTTCAATTTCCAATCAGCCACAAAATTGTAGAGAAAGCTGATTCTTGTTGCATCAAGGGAACAAATCAGCAGTTTACATACTGGTTGATCTGTAAAATAATGTAGAACACTCAACAGATCATCTAAGTTCTAAAATTGTCATCCAGAATATGCAATATACGACAGTTAAGTAGTAGTCTAGTAAGTAAATTTCGACCTAACGATCCATTGAGATCGTACAAATTTTAATTTCCAAGTAGGGAAAACATTGGAAAGGGGAGAAAAAAAGTGACAAACTTTAATTGTTGCACTAAATTCTATCAAGAAAACTGGTTCTTACTGATATCCACTCTTTCGAGATAAGATACATAATTTATGTTCTTTGCATAAATTGAATTGAACACCTAAAGAAAAGTTTTGAGTACTAACAGATGTGCAGATGAGAAAACATTAAAACAGCTTCTAAGTTTTCAAAGTTGTACCTTGGCATGAATTGAATGCAAAGAAAATAATTTCAAACCTTCTCAGTCTGGTATACTTGTTCTGTATCCATTCCATATTTTTCATTTGCATATAGAAGCATTTTATCGGCCATCATTTTCAATCTTTTCTGCAAATCAACCGGTTGAAGTGAAGAAGAGTGCTGTTGTTTCATGAATATTACACCATTCCCACCCATCTCTATATCAACAATAATATGCGTGCCAAACTTTTCATTGAACCTGAAAGAAAAATATGAACTTATAACAAAGGAGGAACCTTAGAAAAACAATACATTTTAAAATATAACACAAAGGTAGCAAATGGTATCCTGGATCCATCCAATTATATTTAATAGTATAACTCAACCACCTTTAGCTCAAAATTTATAAGGCTTCTTTGTAAATAATATATTCTTATATAGAATTTTAGATGATTACCAACATAAAGAGTAGAAGGAAACAATTTTTCATGTCCATATAATTTTTGAAAATGTAGTAACAATCAGAATTATATGTAGCATATTTGAAGGATGTATGACAGTAGTAGGAGGCTTGAATTTAGTTAGCGGACCTCGTACTCCTTAGCTCAGAAGATATATTTTCAAAGAAAGGTAAGACAGATTGGACAAGCCATTACAAAGGTGTTCAAGCTTTCTTAGTATTCTATCACGATCCCTTTTCTTCACACATAAGTGCACAATTGTCCAACCATACTACCAACTCCATAAAAATTGAAAAAGCAAGATTAGCAAAAACATCACACTGCCACTGACAATTAGCAGGAGCTCCAAACATAAGGGTGCGCAAAGTACTTTCAACCACACACAAAAATAATCTACCCCTTCTGTAAACAAGGAATAAAAAGCAAAATGGGATTCAACTTTTCGAAACACCAATAGAACAGAAGCTTAAAAAAAGCTTGCAATCAGAATAATAGTAGTGTCTCCATTACGCTTAGTCGCTTATACCTTGCCAATGCAGCGGGCTCCCATGATGATGGGATTTCTTTTTTTACGTGATCAGTCAGCACCATCTAAAAGAAATTTCGTTTTATATACAAAATTTTTTCATTAGAAACATAGTTTGCATTTCAATAGAATCAAAAGCACACATCACTTTGTGGTTATCCCCCATGACGCCTTGGCTACCCAATATGCTTTGTGCATTTAATAACTATGATTTATATACTTCAGAGAGATACATTATACACTTTTACAATCTGTAGACTACATAAACATGTAGAGAATAAAGCGCTTGAATGTTGAACTAAAAGATTAAGAGCAGAACTTGTTTGCAAATTGATTGACTATTTTCTTCAGTTTTACCAAAGGGATTAAAATTTTTGGAAGTAAATTTTCAAAAATGGTTAAATAATCTGTGTTTAGCTCGTTTATTGGTTAATTAATCTCTTCATCAATCAAGTTTGTAAGGATGATGTTCTTATATAACTTGACTTGGTAAAGGCAAGGACTCCATGAAACATTGCATTGAAAACCTTGGATTGGGTCAAGGTTTTGATGATCATTCTTTGATTATGAAACAAGATGGTAAACCTAAAGATGATTAAACATATAGCAACTAATCCTAGAAAAAAGCTAAATTAGAAAGTTGAATTTTCCATTGGTAAACTTCTAAGCCTTGCCACAACAATCAACAAAATGAAGTCAAACGTAAATCATACTATTTTATAAGGATCACCTAATGATATGGCAATGATGACGCGCATCTGATATTGCGTCGTGTAAAGATAATCCAGCATATCTTTCTCTTGTTCTTTGGACAAATCTTCCTTTGCTCTGATTAGACATATGTGCTCAACAACTCCTCTGCAAGAAGTAGAAACAAGGACATGAATAACCAAATGACCATAACAATCATAGATACAAAAGAAATTCCATATAGATTTATGCTAAGAATATATAATACAATCAGAGCACTAATGATTGTAGAATAATAGTACCCATC